AAAAAGGCACCGAGAGTGTAGCTCAACACACCATCCCTGGGTCCAGTTCCCAGCACCACAGATTAATCAGTCCATCTGTTTATCTCCATATCTGAGCCCTTCAGTCTCTTACACATAAATTAGGGGTAAAAATAGTACCTACTTTATAGGTTTGTCATGAAGGTTAAATGACTAAATACTTAGTGCCTAGCATCCAGTAGACACCCAGTTAACTATTAGCTTATTTCGTATATCTAACTAGGGATGACTTTTCCCTTGTTGAGCAAGTGATCATAAGGCAAAGAGAAGAATAGATATCCTTCAATTGGATACTGATCAAGACTCTGGAAAACTTTTCAGTATCACTTTGTTAGAAAGGTGATCCTCTGCGTCTTACTTTATTGAGCAGCTAATCATTCCTCATGTTTAGATTGAGAGAGTAGTATTCTCTTTATCTTTTTTCTACCTTTATATAGGTATTTATTGATTCCTTTGGTGTTTATATTTGATTCAGGTATCTGCAGTCACATATGATGGCTCCATACAGTTTATTGCAGAAAGTCCTGTTTGAGTCCATGTCTACAGAACTAGTCAATTCAGAAAATGCAAACAAGTTTTCAACTGCCCTTGTACAAATTTTTAATTAGAGAATAACTCTGTCAAGTAAATCTTCAAGTTGATAGTTACATAAATACATCCCTTACTATTCTGGCAAGATATACTGTCTTTATTTTCCTTACAGTGAAGTACATGAGGTTAAATTTACATATAATTTTCTTTATATGCAAACAAAGCATTTAATTTTCAGGTTGAATTTGATCCCCCTAAACTCTGAGGTTGTGAATTTTATTTCACTTCCACAGCACTGTTTCCATTTCATCTTTGATAATATATAGAGAGGTTTGGCTTTTTTTCAGTAATGATAAAGGATTTTTATAATCAGCCACACTATTACTGGTTCTCTTTTGACCAACAATAGTTGATCACTCTTTGTGATAACCAAAGGGTCATAATCTAAGGCTGAAGAATAAAGAGGATTGATTGTACCATCCAATGTTTGCTGTAACTCTCTGGAAACCTATATCACACATAGTAGAAGTCTTCTGGCCCAACTCAGACTTCTGCATTTTGTTCTTTGAGAAAAGATTGTTGACATTTGTATAAGTAACTCAAATAGAAAGACCCCTTTTCCCTTACACCTGAATTCGACTCCTGGTCTTTTCTATATCATTTTGGAGTCCAGCTAGCTTTGAATTAACCAAGGGCCCTTCTCCACCATCTCTGCACTTACCTCGTGAAGGCACTACATACATTTTGAAAAACACAGTTAGATGTGCTTTAAAGAATTGCTTAGATATGCTTCAAAGCATAAGCAATTACAGAACTTCCAAAACCAGGAAGTTAATTGTTAAACTGTAAAAGAGAAACTACCTCTGTCTCACGGAAGGAATGAGTGAAGTATGCTCAGCTGTTTTAAGCTCTCAACAAATATACTTCTTTTGTAGATATACATAACTGTTTTGTTTACTGGAGACCAGAGTGCCCAAAGCTGTTATTTTGCCTGGTTAAATAGGAAAAGTATTTAGCCTTTATTTTTTAAAATATTTTCATTTAGTAAAAACAGATAGTTGCTGTGTTGGCAGAAGTGTGAATTTCATTTCCTGTCTGTGGTGTACCCCACTTATCCTGTCACTCAGACATTTTGTTTTAGGTTGTTCCCGTAATATCAGTGAAACAGTGACCCACAGCAGGATGGCATGTGCGTACTACGGATGTAACAAGGGACAAGGCTTGTGCAATAGACCACAAGAGAGCAATGCTTTATTTAAAGACGAAAACAAAACAAAATCAAGGCAGCCCTTCCAGACAGCATGCAAATTTTTAAAGTGGCATCTGTAGAGTCTCATGTTTTATTTCTAGAAGAAATATTCCAATCTGTTTGGCAGGTTACCTCAAACATATTATCAGCATAATGCCACTTTATTAAAGGACAAAACCAAGTCAGTAACTGACATGATAGAAGTGATTTCAAGTTTGCCAAGCAATTTATCATCAAATATTTTTATTTTATAATCCATAAACTGCCAAATATATTGAGTTCCATAATGATTATTTTTTATATGTGAAACTTGTTCTAAATTACAATTCTTGCCACAGCACTAGAATAGATATGATTATGGAAAAAAACTCGAGATGAATTATCTGTCACATATCTTTTGAGTATCTAATATATGTTGACATTATTTCCCCTGCTAAGGATACAGTGATAAGCAAAATAAGTCCTTGTTCTTATGGTGGTTGTATTCTATGACGATAACTTCAATCAAGATACAAATGCATAAATATAATTTCAGTTTATGATAACTATCTTGAAGGAAACAAAACAAAACAATAAGACAGAATATGATTGGGATAAGGGTATGGTAATACTGGAGCTGAGACTTACATCATTACAGGTTAGGAGGAAAATCTTTCCGGTAGAGAACAAAAGATACAAAGGCCCTGAGAAGGGGGTCTGAAGTACTAAAAACAATCCAACTAGTTTATATTAAACAAAAGAGGAGATGATATAAGATCAGAGAAATAAGTTGCTTTAGGATGTTACGAGAGCATAGAAAACCAAGCTCAAGATTGGTGTTTCACTTATAAGTATAAAGGGAAGCTTTGGAAGGGTTTTAAGTAGAGAAGTGACATTATCTGATCCATATTTTTTTAATAATTCTGTTTACTGAGTGAATAGTAGGGGAAAAGAAGTAGCTGCGAAAAAAAAAAAAAAAGTACCTGCAGATAGACCTATTATGCTTTTTGCTGAGTGTATCAAGGTGAAGGGGGGTAAAAATGTAAAATAAACAAAATTAGCCATAAATTAAAGCTAGAACATTACAGAAACTGGGGGATTCATCATATTATTCTTCTTACTTTTTGTATATATCTGAAATTTTCTGTAATAAGATGACTATTTTTAAATGGCTTTTTTAAAAAAAGTAGTGCTAATGAGAAGCGATGGCCATAGTGGTAATGGGAATTCGTAGTCAAATTAAAGATATATTTAAAAGTAAAGCTCATAGGATTTGCTGATGAGTTAGATATATATATATATATATAATGACAATTATGTATTTGCCTCCAGACAGCTGGGTGGGCTAGGAACCAGTTGGTAGAGGTTGAACTTAAAAGTTTTGTGTTCTTTTTGCAATGGTAATGATGGAAGCTGGGGCCTCAAACATGCTAGGCAGGCACCCTAATTCTGAGGTATTTCCCTAGCCCAAGAGTTTCATTTTGGCAATGTAAATTAAGATGCCAATTATATTTCCAAGTGAAAATATTGAATAAGCAATGTCATTCTCAATATATTAGCTAACATTAAATAGCAGTAAACATACTTACAAACTTAGAATCCTCCATTTTGTGTTTCTAGATTTTGCCATTAGTGACTAAAATTTCTAACCTTTATCAGATTCTGTGGGTAACATTGAAAGTCTTATTTATTCTAGTGATATGAAATAAATTAGATATTTTCTATGAATATCCCCTTGGAATTATTTTTAAATAGCCTCTATCTTGAGCAGTAATTCCCCAGCAATTTAGATGGTGTGATGGTGGTGGTGGTGGTTTGTATTTGTTTTTTGGTTTTTGTGGTACTGAGCTCCACCCTAATCCTAAACGCTTTTTTAATTTTTTTTAAAGCTTTCTTTTTTCTTTTTTCTTTTCTGGTACCGGGGATTGAACTCGGATCCTTGCTCGTGCAAGGCAGGCCACCAAACCGCTGAGGTAAATCTCCGGCCCCCTTTTTTAATTTTTGAGACAGGGTCTCACTGAATGAATTGCCTGGGTGTCCCTCTAACTTGCAAGCCTCCCACAATGCTGGGTTTACAGGCATCCACAACTCCTTCTGCCTTCCGTGTATATTATCACTTGCATGAATGATAATGTTAACATGGGGGACAAAGTCAGGAGGTTAAACATACTCCTGTGCAGTACTACTTTTCAGTGCACGTGGGATACAAGTTGATAAGAACAAAATTTTTAAATACATTTTTAATTTTAGGTGACACATAGCAGTTGTACGTACTTATGAAGCAAAATGTGATGACACTTCAAAACAAGTATAGTGTTTAACAATCAGATCAAGGTGATTGGCATGTCTATCACCTCAGATATTTATAATTTATTTATGTTGGAAACATTTTTAATTGTTTCCGCTGGCTAAAGTGAAATAATATAATTAATTATTATTAATCATAATCCTTCTGTACTAGAGGACTTTAAAAGTTATTCCTCTCAGGCTGGGGGTGTAGCTCAGTGGCACAGCACCTACCTGGCAAGTGTGAGGTCCTGAGTTTGATTCCCAATACCAAAAAAATAATAGTTATTCCTCCCATCCAGCTCTACTCCTGTACTTGTCTTCTCTTTGTACCTTTCCACCCTGCATCCTTCCCAGCCTCTCATAACTGCTCTTCTGTTTGGTGAGAATAAAATTCTGAGCTAACACTTTAATGTGATGTGTGTATTTTAAGTATAAATCCTTTTTGCAAACTGTAGATCTGTTATTAGCAACTAAGTATTGAAACACTTAATATCTGGTGATAATCAGATCAGGACAGGACACTATTGATAAATATCATTAGTGATAATCATAAATCACATAACCTCTTTTATTTTCCCTATTTTACAGACAAGGAAATTTAGGTTCAAAAATTTTCATTCAGGTATAAAATAGCAAACTAGATTCAGACCCCAATAATCTGGTTCCAAAGTCATTACCCTTTTATTTGATTACAGAGTCTTCACTCTTAACTGCAGTCATACAATGTGTATAAGTTTTACTTCAAAAAATTGTAATAGATGGGGCTATACTGTATATGAGAAACCAGAGTCTGTATTGATTTTGTTCTTAATTCATCCTGTGACATTGAAACTGTGAAATAGGGAAGAGAGAATAATCCTAAAGAGGGTCTCTATTTTCCTCCTTAATTTTGTTCTTTTAATTTATTTTCTTTTGACATTTTTTTTCCTTATAGCATCAGCGAGAGCTTTTTAACTGTCAAAGGTGCCGCACTTTTTCTGCCACGGGGAAATGGCTCATCCACACCAAGAATCAGCCACAGACGTAACAAGCATGCAGGTACAGCTGCACACACATTATTTCTTTCTTGATTACCTTGTCTTTTGTCCTAAAGCTGAATCCATCATTCCCATTTTTCCAATTATTTTTTAATAGTTAAAGAAAACATTATACCATCCTATGATCACCTTTCTTTGAGCTATCACCATTTTTCTAGCATTTATCAGAATGCCTTTCACACATAGTAGATGTTCAGTAAATTTTTGTTGGAATAACGGGAAAGTACAAAAATACTCTGATAAAGTATATCATCACATTATATATCACATTAAAATATTTGTTCTTACATGCCAGTTTGCTTCTTGAATGTATGCCCCCATAAAGGCTAAAAGTTTAACCTGGAGGACTTTGATAAACAAGGAGTCATTAAATAATTGTTCAAGCAGTGATGGTGTAAAATCTAGTTTTGAAATACACTAATGATAGTATATACATTGCATTTCCTTATGTTGGGTTTCTCTAAAGTCAAGTGCACTTGTAATGTTGAACTCAAAAAAGACAGAATCATAGAAAGTATGACCTAGGGAGAAAGGCCTAACACTATAGGATATCCACAGCTTTAGAAGATAAATAGCCTGATTTTTCCCAAGAATTGTTTATGTAATTTTTTTTTTTTTTGTACCAGGGATCAAACTCAAGACTTTCCCTGGCTGTTTATGTAAAAATTTCAAGACAAAAGTCAACCTGAAAATAATAATCTTAATTATTGCTGTACAAAGCTTGTTGTTATAAATATGCCTTTTGATGACTTATAACCTCCAGTAGTAGAAGAAATTACAGTTACCAGGAAGAAAACAATGAAGACTATAAATCTTGAATGTACAGGTCAGAGGTAAAAGCCAGAAATACTAGATCCCCTGATCCAGTAGTTGAGTTTAGCCCTGGTCAAGATTATCTCAGCTATTTTAGTGGTCTGTATCTTGTTTGGGCCTTTATCGAGTTACAAATGTAGCAGTTCAGAATTACAATCCATTTTGTACTCTCTGGTAGTGGAAAAAGGTTTTTAAAGTAAGGAGGAAAAAATGTTTTGAAAATTAGCTTGAGTTATATTTTGTAAACCCTTTAATGCCCATGACTGAGCAAAGGAGGAGGATACTTCCAAAAAAAACTTGAATGCACAGAGGAAGTAGACCTTAGCTAGCTTTGTATTTCTGTTGGGTGTTGAGGTATATCATTGACAGTAAAAAGAAAATAAATTATTGGTTTAAATCCAGCTTGTCTGACAAAATCTCGGGTGACTTGCTCTGTGGCATGTAATAGTGTGGTCCATGGCTTTTAAAGCTCTTCGTCCTGGTTGGCTTTTCTTTGATCAAACTTTTACACTCTAACTGCCACTCGGATTTGTACTTGACATGTTCCCTTAGTTTTCCTTATACCAAAAACAAAAACAGATTGTTCACTTAGTTTTCCCTATACTAAGGAGAGCTTAATTTGTAATCCAGACCAGAACAGAGGAGGCAGTGTAAGTATAAATGCAGCTCAAAAAATTCACAATTCCACATAAACTGAATTGTCTGAGCTCACAGAAATTAAAAGATAATGGCAGAATAGAGAGTAAATCAAAAGTGTGCTATGGCCCAGCGTGGCAGCGCACTCCTGTAATCCCAGCACTCGGGAGGCTGAGGCAGGAGGATCGCTGTGAATTCAAGACCAGCCTGGGCTACATAGTGAGTTCTAAGTCAGTCTCAACTATATAGTGAGACCCTGTCTCAAAAAAACAAACAAAAAAAAAAAAGTATACTATGTCGGGCCAAGGGTTTAGCTCAGTGGTACTGCTGCCTGCCTGGCAAGTGCAAGGTCCCAAGTTCGATCCCCGGTACCAAGAAAATAAGAAAATTAAAAGTGTATTATGTCTAATTGTAATTTCTTATGTGTGTTGCTTGAATGAGTTAGAATTTTTTTTAATCTGGGTTGCATTTGAAATATCCAAATACAATTTCAGTGTTTTGTTTTGTGATACTAGGGGTTAAACTCATACTGAGCTATAGCCCTACTCCCTTTAAAAAAATTTGTTTGAGACATGATCTTGCATTGCTAACTTGCCCAGGCTGAGTTCTAACTTGCAGTCCTCCTGACTCAGCTTTCAAAAGTGCTGGGATTACAGGCATGTACACATTTTGCAATTTAAAATTATAGGATGAAAATCTGCCAATATTCTAAAGAAAAATGATGATAATTCCTTAAAATTAAGCAAATCTGAAATTTAGATACAAGCAGTGAAGATATATGAGAAAATATGAGAGTCCTTGGTATATTACCTCTGTTAGTCTCTGAGAAGAACAATTTCCCCATATCAAATAATATTCATTTTGCTCATAATACTTTTTATAGCTAGCAAATATACCCAGTTCATGTAAGAAGGCTTACTGTAAGAGTAGTACTGACTTTTGTCTGACCTTCAGTGAGCAAGCTGGATCTACAAACCAGTTGCACCTAGAGTGAGTACTTTGACTAGTATCTAGGGTACTCTTCCAGAATTTTTCCATCCTGAAAAAATATTTTCCTTGGTTTCTTCTTCTGATAGAACAATGGTAATTTACTTTTTTTTTTTCTTTTTTTTTT